GGCGGCAGCAGCAGCACGCTGGCTGGCGAGATGTTCACTCCCCCGCCCGGTGCACAGGAGGTCCGCGGGTTCGACTCCGACGCCTGCTGTGTATTTGTAGTTTGCGTGGATTATTCTCCGGCTCCTCCGGTCTCTCTCTATCTCTCTCCGCCTCAAGAGACGTGCGCTGAGAGAGAGTTTGGCTGCCGCTATGAATTCCCACGCGATGTTGACGATTAGCCACTTGGCCGAGCTCTCATTTAGTGGCCAGGCCGCTCCTCACAAAGATCTAGACAGCTCAGTGGGGCATGACCTGGTTAAAATTGAAAGAGAGAGAGAGTAAAAGAGAAGGGTGAAGTTGGTGACACTCAAAGCTCCGCACAGACGGAGTCAAGAATCCACTGCTGTGCAGCCGTCAAACGGCTTCTTGGATGGGGGCAGAGGTTGGATCGAGGCGAGGAATGAGGTGAGATGAGGAGGAATAAGAAGGGTGAGAAAGTGGGGAGGAGGTGTGTGGGTGGTGAGGATGGAGGTGAGGATGGAGGTGAGGATGGAGGTGAGGATGGAGGTGAGGATGGAGGTGAGGATGGAGGTGAGGAAGGAGGTGAGGATATTGCGAGCGGAGAGGGTGTGTGAATGCACCACAAGTTAGTCGATCGGCAGGTTGTGTGTGGCGGCAGGGTGGGGGGGTAGAGTTTGGGGTTACTCCGACCTCGTCCGAGATGTCTGGCCAACGTGGAAGGGGAGGGCAGCGTGCTCTCTACACAGCTTTGGTGGTGGTGGACGAGGCCTCCCCTAAGTCGACTAGGCCTCAAATGAGTTCCTGGTGCGCTGTGTAAACATCGCCACTAGGCTACCGAACCCCTCGTGTGCGCTTTGCCGGCCTTCACAGGCGCTACTCGCTAACAGCCCTTGCCCCAACAGTCTGTTGAGACTCTACGGGGGATCTTTGTATTTGTGGAGGTGGCGGGGTTGGAGTGGTGGGGGGATGAGGGGTATTGGTAGGTGAGAAAGCGTGTGTGTGTACGTGTGTGTGTACGTGTGTGTGTGTACGTGTGTGTGTGTGGTGGAGGTGTTGGAGCGGTGGTGTAGCGGTTAGCGCGCTGCGCTACGAACCTGGCCACCCGGGTTCGATTCCTGCTCACGGCCAACACCAGTGACGCTTATCTGAACCGCTCCCGGGCATCCCCTAGGTCGACTCAGCCTCAAATAAATACCTGGTGCGATGTGTACACATCGCCACTGGGAAGAGACAAAGGCGGCCGGGCGTGGTGTTGACCACCCACGCCCTCGTGTGCCGTGCCGGCCTTCATAGGTGCTCGCTAACAGCACTTGCCCCAACAGCCTGTTAAGGCTACACGGGGGGTCTTTACCTTTGTGGTGGAGGTGGGGAGGGTGGTGAGAGGGTCTGGATGGAGGTATGCAGGGGGTTGCTCATTAAAGACCTTGTCATGGCACTACGGACTTGCAACCTCCTCGCACAAACACGCGAGAAGGCAGTGCAGCAAATAGGTTGCTGACTTCTCTGTATTGCACGTGTCAGCCTCTCCAGTTTACTCCCACGAGAGAACGCAAAGTCCTCGACATCGATGCCTCGTGCGAGTCAGCTGCCACAGCGGTTAGCAGCGCGACTGGACATGCAATGCAGATGTCACCGGTTCAATTCCACATCCCTGTGCGGCAGTGAAAACAACGGTAGCAAGTTTATTAAGTCCTCCACCGCACCCCCACACACCATCGCCTCTGTCCAGCCAGCAGCGATGTGAATGCCCGGCGCTAACCGGGCGCTACTAGACACTAAGTCTCACTAACTAGGCACCACTAGACACTAAGTCTCACTAACTAGGCACCACTAGTCACTAAGTTACACTAACTAGGCACCACTAGACACTATGTTACACTAACTAGGCACCACTAGACACTAAGTTACACTAACCGGGCACCGGTCAACGCTAACTTACTGATCGCTGAGGCTGCCGGCACGGCGACAAATCACAAATCAATGCCCCCGACGGCAGGATTTTCATTTTAAGGCAGAGTGCGCCAACAGCCCCCATCAGGATTCATCGCACCCCCCTCCCCCGCCCCCGCCCCCCCCTCCCCCGCACCCCCCGCCCCGGCACCCCCCTCCCCTGCACCCCCCCCGCCCCCCAGCGCTTGTAACGGTGCTCAGTGCGGGCGACGCGGAAGCCGCAGGTTCGACTCCGTCTTCCCGGTCAGCCGCTCACCTCTTCAAGCGCCCCGCGGACCAAACTGCGACTCAGGAGCTAAGCGCGGAGGTTTGATCCCGGAGAGCGCGTGGGTGAGCGACCGCCGTGGAGAGAGTAGCGCAGGCGACGCGACTTCTTCACACATCTCAGAATCTTCTTCTATTCATCCTGGAGGAATCCGATGAGCTACGAGGATCTTTTCACAGATGCCCAGGAGACGTTTGTCCCTCCGCATAACAACAAAAGTGTTTCGTGTAGAGCCCACGGCCCCAAGGCCCCAAGACACCACGGCCCCACGGCCCCACGGCCCCAAGGCCCCAAGGCCCCACGGCCCCAAGGCACCAAGGCCCCACGGCCCCAAGACCCCAAGGCACCAAGACCCCAAGGCCCCAAGGCCCCACGGCCCCAAGACCCCACGGCCCCAAGACCCCAAGGCACCAAGACCCCAAGGCCCCAAGGCCCCACGGCCCCAAGGCCCAAAGGCACCAACACCCCAAGGCACCAAGACCCCAAGGCCCCACGGCCCCAAGGCACCAAGGCCCCACGGCCCCAAGACCCCAAGGCACCAAGACCCCAAGGCCCCAAGGCCCCACGGCCCCAAGGCACCAAGACCCCAAGGCACCACGGCCCCAAGGCACCAAGACCCCAAGGCACCAGGACCCCAAGGCACTATGGCCCCAAGGCACCAAGACCCCAAGGCACCAAGACCCCAAGGCACCACGGCCCCAAGGCACCACGGCCCCAAGGCACCAAGACCCCAAGGCACCAAGACCCCAAGGCACCACGGCCCCAAGGCACCAAGACCCCAAGGCACCAAGACCCCAAGGCACCACGGCCCCAAGGCACCAAGACCCCAAGGCACCAAGACCCCAAGGCACCAAGACCCCAAGGCACCACGGCCCCAAGGCACCAAGACCCCAAGGCACCACGGCCCCAAGGCACCAAGACCTCAAGGCACCAAGACCCCAAGGCACCACGGCCCCAAGGCACCAAGACCCCAAGGCACCAAGACCCCAAGGCACCACGGCCCCAAGGCACCAAGACCCCAAGGCACCAAGACCCCAAGGCACCACGGCCCCAAGGCACCAAGACCCCAAGGCACCAAGACCCCAAGGCACCACGGCCCCAAGGCACCAAGACCCCAAGGCACCAAGACCCCAAGGCACCAAGACCCCAAGGCACCAAGACCCCAAGGCACCACGGCCCCAAGGCACCAAGACCCCAAGGCACTACGGCCCCAAGGCACCAAGACCCCAAGGCACCAAGACCCCAAGGCACCACGGCCCCAAGGCACCACGGCCCCAAGGCACCAAGGCCCCACGGCCCCAAGACCCCAAGGCACCAAGACCCCAAGGCCCCAAGGCCCCACGGCCCCAAGGCACCAAGACCCCAAGGCACCACGGCCCCAAGGCACCAAGACCCCAAGGCACCAAGACCCCAAGGCACTACGGCCCCAAGGCACCAAGACCCCAAGGCACCAAGACCCCAAGGCACCACGGCCCCAAGGCACCACGGCCCCAAGGCACCAAGACCCCAAGGCACCAAGACCCCAAGGCACCACGGCCCCAAGGCACCAAGACCCCAAGGCACCAAGACCCCAAGGCACCAAGACCCCAAGGCACCAAGACCCCAAGGCACAACGGCCCCAAGGCACCAAGACCCCAAGGCACCACGGCCCCAAGGCACCAAGACCCCAAGGCACCACGGCCCCAAGGCACCAAGACCCCAAGGCACCAAGACCCCAAGGCACTACGGCCCCAAGGCACCAAGACCCCAAGGCACCAAGACCCCAAGGCACCACGGCCCCAAGGCACCACGGCCCCAAGGCACCAAGACCCCAAGGCACCAAGACCCCAAGGCACCACGGCCCCAAGGCACCAAGACCCCAAGGCACCAAGACCCCAAGGCACCAAGACCCCAAGGCACCACGGCCCCAAGGCACCAAGACCCCAAGGCACCACGGCCCCAAGGCACCAAGACCTCAAGGCACCAAGACCCCAAGGCACCACGGCCCCAAGGCACCAAGACCCCAAGGCACCAAGACCCCAAGGCACCACGGCTCCAAGGCACCAAGACCCCAAGGCACCAAGACCCCAAGGCACCACGGCCCCAAGGCACCAAGACCCCAAGGCACCAAGACCCCAAGGCACCACGGCCCCAAGGCACCAAGACCCCAAGGCACCAAGACCCCAAGGCACCAAGACCCCAAGGCACCAAGACCCCAAGGCACCAAGACCCCAAGGCACCACGGCCCCAAGGCACCAAGACCCCAAGGCACCACGGCACCACGGCCCCGTGGGACGGAATCACTTCAGCAACATTGATTCAGTGCAAGGAAGCTCTGGACCTGATTTGACACTCGGCTGTCCCATCACTGCTGGCAGCCCCCCATACGCAGCAGACTTACGGGCTGATTGCACGCGCCGCTTCGTGGGCAGGGTGGCAATATCACTGTTGTGCTGTACCATGTTCTCACGTCTATGGTCCCTGCCCCGTGTGTGGGTGTGTGTGTGTGGCTATTGCTACAGCCACACACACACACGTACTTGTGTGTGTGTGGCCGTAAAGCTGCTGTTGAACGCACGGCACTGGGGTGTGGCCGGCCAGTCGCAGGCTATTCGCGCGGACTGCAAACGTCAGGCGCCTTGTGCAGGCTATGCACGCGGACTATGTAACGGACCTGCTACGTGTGCACTTGCTTTGTATACGCGGGCCACGGCGGAGGGTGCTGTGTGACGCGTGGCGCTGTGTGTGTGCCCGTGGGCTACAGCGCGTGCGGCAGCGGAGCGCGACGGCGTCTGTGCGACTCACGGCGCCGGCGGGGCTGTGCGTGAGGGCGGTGGGCTCCATGCAGGCGGGGAGGCCCGGCATCCCCCTCAGGGCCTCTCACGTGGGCGCACGCGACCCCTCTGACCCCTCTCACCAGTCGGCTCGTCGCGGCACGCGGCCGTCCACCACCTCATCCGAACCTCGCTCCTGCGCGCAGACACAGACACACAACAGACAAATGTACCCCGTGTAGCCTTCGCTAGACACCGTAGATTCCGACGAAAAATAAGCTGAACAATGATTCCTCCTTCGCGTCTTTGTCTCTCCGCGTGTAATATTTTTTTGTAAAACGCAATCCAAACTATGGACCGTATTGTAAACTCACAGAGATGCGTAGAGATGCGTAGACTCATAGACATACATAAAGACTCAGCGACACGTGTGTATGTATGTATGTATTTTGAAATTCTTTAGCACCGTACGTAACCAACCGTGCTCAACGTAGAGACCCATCGGGTCACAAAGAGATACAGAGAGACGCACAGACGTATATAGAGACCCACAGAGACCCAAATAGACACATAGAGATACACAGAGGCACGTGGAGACCCACTGAGACCCAAATAGACACATAGAGATACACAGAGGCACATGGAGACCCATAGAGACCCAAATAGACACATAGAGATACACAGAGGCACGTGCAGACTCATAGACCCACGAAAAGATATACTTTAAAGACAAGCCACAGATGTGGCATTGTGGAAACCCAAACTTGTGACCGCACAGGAAACCCAGCGCAGTCCCGCGCTCCTTCCAGGAAGAAGAGCAAAACGAGACTAACTCTCAATCCCGAAGCCCTCTTGTCGTGGCCGGCAGACTTTAACGTCGCCATTTAGCTCCCGAACATGCTGCTGCTGCCATCACGCGTAATAATGGATTAAATACATTAGGGGCCGTCCATAAATGACGTCACGCGATTTTGGACGATTTTTGACCACTCCCCCCCCTTCGTCACACGGCGTCACAAAAAGTCAGAACCCCCTCAAATATGACGTCACAAAGCTCTGCCCCCCCCCCAAAAAATAAAACATGCTTCAAGTCGCTTTAAACTATTGTCATTGTAGTGCGTATTTAATGTGGCGCTGCACTCTCACGTTGTAGGAGAAAACATTTATTAAAAAGTATATTTTATTAAGTAGAACGTGTTGTCTATATTTATTTAAAGTTGCGCATTTTGATGTGACGTCACATTTCTCAAACCCCCCCCCCCACTCGTCACACATCGTCACAAATGTCTGACCCCCCCCCCCCAGGTGCGTGACGTCATTTATGGACGGCCCCTTTGTGCACTTCCCATCGGTCTCATGGGGAATGCATAATTTCAGCAGCATTCGTTCGATGCAATATAACATTGCTTTTATTTGCTGTTAAGAAGGGCCATTGCCTGAAACGTCGCCTTTTGTCCGTATTTTTCATCACAAGGCCTCACCCAGTATTATTGACGGATATGTTCAAGTTGTATTTTTGTGTGTGTCAATTGCGCTTTGTGCACCACTGCCAACGCAGGCTACAGCCGCGGCAGAAGCAGGAACATCCCCAAATAATTTGGGCCAATCCAAGAAAAAAGTCTCGACCCCTTTTGGCCATTCGGTGTCTCTGCAGCAATCAGGCTCTGCTTGAACCATTGCTGCTCAGCTGCTCAATATACAGGGGATGGTTCAAAAAAATGTTAACAGTTACATGGGATTTAAAGCTTTCGTGACTGCAGCGTCCTAATGGACGCTGTCTTTCCGACAGCTCTGTTCTTCACCTGAGGACGGCTGCTTGTGTTGTGGCCGAAACGTTGTGAGACATTTTTGTTGTTTTATTTTTTATTATTTCCCTTCTACGTGACTTTACCGAAAGATCCAAGAATATGAATACTTATATGGGACTATCGTTTTTTCATTGAAAAAAGAGCGGATAACAAGAACACTGTAACGTGATAAGAAATGAAATGTTAATAGATTAAAAAAAGTTCAAAGAGCCTCCCACGTGTTCGCCTTCGTTGTCAACTCGTGCCTGGAATCTTGTCCAGGTGGTCTCCAGAGCCTAGAGGCGGCACATTTTATCGTGGGAATTGTTGCAAATTCTCGTAAGTTCATCTTCTTGGTTATTTCGGTAAAGTCACGTAGAAGGGAAAAAATAAAATAATAAAAATTCAACATAATAAAATAATTCTCACGATGTTTCGGGCACAACGCAAGCAGCCGTCCTCAGGTGAAGAACAGGTCTGTCGGGAAGAATTCAGACGCTGTCTTCCCGACAGACCTGTTCTTCACCTGAGGACGGCTGCTTACGTTGTGGCCGAAACGTCGTGATAATTATTTGATTATGTTTCATTTTTATTATTTTATTATTTCCCTTCTACGTAACTTTACCGAAAGAACCAAGAAGATGAATCTCTGCAGTCACGAAAGCTTTAAATCGAAAAATTCTCAGAAGTGTTAACATATTTTTGAAGCGCCCTGTATTATTAAGGCAAAGTGACGTTTGCGAGCGCCTTCGAGGACGAGGGGGTGGTGTGGCCAACAACGCTGCCAGGCCAACTATGTGTGCCCCCCCGTGCCGATGCCTCCACGCGCACACACGTCAGGCCGAGACTAACCTAGCGGCTGCCATGACCAGTCGAGACGCCACTTGGCACACTTCCGTTAGCTGTGTGCCGGGAGTGGCAGACCGGGTCGCTTCCAGGACCACGCGCGGCCGCCTTCGTCTCCCCGGTCTCGGTAGCTATGCACGGCGGCCGGCTTTGCGAACGGGCTTCAGATGAATATGCCACTGATGTCAGCCGTGCCGTGGCCTGGACTCGAAAGTGGACCGAGCGGCCTCACGTGCGCGCAGGGGGTGGTGGTGGTGGTGGGTGGGGGACACGGGACGCAGGCTGTGTGTGTGCGCATGCCATTCGTGAAGCCCTCACCAAGCAGCCTGTTCACATTCCGCTCGGGAATTGCATCACCGCGCGAACTGCCCACGACGAACGCGCGCCACACCGGGGGCTTCAATTCTCAGGAATAATTTCTGGGTATTCCCAAAATTCCTGGGAAAAACTCTCCACCTCCCCCCCCCCCAAACCTCCTCTTCGTGATAGCATTGGGGTGGGGGTGGTTGAGAGATGGAGGCAGGAAACGATTTAACTGAATTGAGTCTCGGAAGGCTGAGGCTCAATTGAAGCGCTGTACGTCACTGCCACCTCTCTTCCCTCCCGCCACCCCACCAATTATTTCCTGAAGGGCTGTGACCTGAAACGTCGCGCCAGTCCCCGACACCAATGACGATTATCTGAACTGGCCCTGGGCCTCCCGTAGGTCGACTCAGTCTTAAATGAGTACCACATGCGGTGTGTAAAACATTGCCACGAGGGAGACAAAGGCGGCCGGGCGTGGTGCTGGCCTGTCGATCCCCTCGTGTGCTGTGGCAGCCTTCATAGGTGCTACTCGCTAACAGCACTTGCCCCAAAGAGTCTGTGAAGGCTATATGGGGGATCCTTGCCGGTTTCCTTAGTTTTTTTTATTTACGTGAGTAAGTGTAAAATTGATTGTTTGTGTGCAAGTGTATGATTGTGTGTATGTGTGTATGTATGCATGTAAGTGTGTATACGTGTGTAAGTGTATGATTGTGTGTATGTAAGTGTATGATTGTGTGTATGTGTGTATGTAAGTGTGTACACGTGTGTAAGTGTATGATTGTGTGTATGTGTGTATGCATGTAAGTGTGTACACATGTGTAAGTGTAGGATGTGTGTATGTAAGTGTATGATTGTGTGTATGTGTGTATGTAAGTGTGTACACGTGTGTACGTGTATGATTTGTGTGTGTAAGTGTATGATTGTGTGTATGTATGTAAGTGTGTACACGTGTGTTAGTGTAGGATGTGTGTAAGTGTGTACACGTGTGTAAGTGTATGATGTGTGTGTACACGTGTGTAAGTGTATGTGTGTACACGTGTGTAAGTGTATGATTGTGTGTATGTGTGTATGTAAGTGTGTATATAAGTGTATGATTGTGTGTGTGTGTGTAAGTGTGTACACGTGTATAAGTGTAGGATGTGCGCGCGCTGCCTAGACCGGTCCAGGGTCCTGGCTCTCCATCCTCCTCCCGCGGGTTGCCATGGTGACCCTCCGCACCTGTTCCTGCCGAATGGCAACTCGCGATACGCGTGGAGGGCGGGGGGAGGGGATGGAGACGTGGGGATAGGGGGGTGAGGGGGTGGTGCGAGCTCAACTTCTCCCCCCCACTCTCCTCACCACCACCAGCACCCCACACACCGCTCCAAGCCATGACCCCTGCTCTCTCTACTTCGGTGTGCGTTGTTGTGAGCTGGACCAGCGGTGATGGGAGAGTGGGAGGGTTGCGTGGTTCCTGGGGTCGTTAAAGGAGACGGGAGGGCAAGGAGGATGTGTGTGTTGTGGGGGTGGTGGGGGTGGTAGGGGTGTGTGTGTGTAGTGGGGGTGTGTGTGTGTTGTGGGGGTGGTGGGGGTGGTAGGGGTGGGTGTAGTGGGGGTGTGTGGGTGTAGTGGGGGTGGTAGGAGTGTGTGTGGGTGTAGTAGGTGTGTCTGTGTGTGTGTGGGTGTAGTAGGTGTGTGTGTGTGTAGTGGGGGTGGTAGGGGTGTGTGTGGGTGTAGTAGGTGTGTGTGTAGTGGGTGTGTGTAGTAGGGGTGGTAGGGGTGTGTGTGGGTGTAGTAGGTGTGTGTGTGTGTGTGTAGTGGGGGTGGTAGGAGTGTGTGTGGGTGTAGTAGGTGTCTGTGTGGGTGTAGGTGTAGTAGATGTGTGTGTAGTATGTGTATCTGTGTGTAGTGTGGGTGTAGTAGGTGTGTCTGTGTGTAGTAGGGGTGGTAGGTGTGTGTGTGTGGGTGGTAGAGGTAATGTCTGTGTGTGTGGGTGTAGTAGGTGTGTCTGTGTGTAGAGTGGGTGTAGGTGTGTCTGTGTGTAGTGTGGGTGTAGTAGGTGTGCCTGTGTGTTGTGGGGGTGGTAGGTGTGTGTGTGTGGGTGTAGTAGGTGTGTGTGTGTGGTAGGGGTGTGTCTGTGTGGAGTGGGGGTGTAGTAGGTGTATCTGTGTGTAGTGTGGGTGTAGTAGGTGTGTCTGTGTGTAGTGGGGGTGGTAGGTGTGTGTGTGTGGTTATCTATGGGGGTGTGTGTGTGTGCCGTGCCATAAACTTAATGGGT